AACAACTACCATCTCAAAATTGGTTGGTTCTCCATCTGTTGTTCTCCCAAAAACCTCTCATATTCATCATATCTCCACTAATATTGATCCTAATCTTGATTTTGCTGAAAAACTACCTCAGCTCAAAATTAATGTTGTGAGAGAAATGGAGAGACTCAAAGGAAAATTTGTCTCAAGCAACCGTTCTTCCCAAGTAAAAGCCTTCTGGAGAAGGTTTGACATGTGGATGAATGTTGAATGTTTGAAACTCAGAAGGATATCGGCTAAAATGAAAAATCAATATGCTAAGGATGTCGAAGAAAGACGCAAGGCTCTTGAAGCTCAAGAGGGTAATCGAAAAGGAAACAGTTGAAAAAGAGGCAACAGAAAGAAGCCTCTACATAAAGAGAAGTTGCAGAAAAGATAGTTGCTGAAAAACCTGAAGTAGAAAATGAAAAGAAAGCAGAGGAAGAAAGAGAAACAACAAAACTCTCTGAAAATTATGGTGTCTTCTCTTGTTTTCAAGATTCTTTTTATGATATGCAGAAAGAGCAGAAGTTAATCAGAGAAATGCTGAAAGAGCAAGCTGAATTCAATAAAATCCATTCAAGGATTACTTGTAAAACTTCTTCAGCAAAGCCAAAAATCTTCCAAGTCTTACGGACTCTGATTTTCTCTTTTTGTTGTTCCATTACTTATTTTCTTTGTGTGTAGCGTTTGTTTTATCCTTGGGATATTTTGTGATTTATTTCTTGTGCTAAACGTAATGATTTTCTTTGTAATTAGATTGTGAACTCACTATTTCATGTTTGAAGTTCAAAAATAAATTAAGCATTTCTTATATCTTTTTTATTATGACAAAAAGGGGGAGAAAGAATAATGATTTTGATTAATAACAATTCTCTAAAACCCTATGATTTACATGACATTCTAACCTGATATAAATAACCAAAGCACTTAGAATGTGAATGACTTCTACAAGAACATTTCGAATGAAACATTGCATTCACTATGATAAACCAAGTTCTGATAAAGAATGGCCATTGTTTCTAATTTTCTGAGGAAGCATGGATAATCTGATAAGCTTAAAGGTTAAAATCAATAATGTTGATCAAATTCAGAAAGGATAACAATGCTATTACACTCTGAAAAATCATAAGCTTATGATTTAGGCAGAGATTGTTTACCCCAGGGGGGAGTTTTATTAAACTCTTAAATTATTTGTTTATGATTTAACCTTGTAAAATTGTTCCATCAAAATACAAGGTTTTGTAATCATCAAAAAGGGGATATTATTAGAACAGGATTTGGATTTGTGTTTAAATATCTGTGTTTTGATGATAACGAGCATATATTTTATGGGAAACAATTTTAGTACTAATGGTTTCTTGAGTGTGCAAATAATAAATTCTAATTGATTCTGGACTATTGTCTGAAAAATCAGAAATACGCCAAGCACATCAGAAAGACTATTCGGAAGTAATCAAGAAGAAAGAGTTTATGATAAGTTGTTGCTTCAAAAGATCAAAAATCAAAGAGCATAAGAAACAAGCTTCCAACACAAAGGTCAGAAGACAAGACTAGTTCATTATAAAAGATGATGCTTATGCTTCTTAAGACGAAGTCAATATTCTGAACACATATAGAGAAAGCTTCTACCTTCAAATTAGATGTCAAGATTTGTTCATCAGAAGAGTTGTTGCTCATACCTCTAAAGACAAAGTCAAGATTCTCAAGACTCGGATAACTCATGGAATACACATTTCTATTCAACATCAGAAGTATTCCATCAGAAGAAATGATCAAAGAGAGAAAGATCTTCTGGACTCATTTCTAATCAACATCACAAAGTCCATCAGAAGACAAGATCAAAAGATGATATTTTCTCAAACCAATCTACTCAGCAGAAGCAATATTCATCATAAGACAAATATCATCAGAAGTACCAATGCACTTACCAGAGGAACTATTGTGATTGTTTCTAAAGAAACATCAGCAGTTCTAAAGAATGTTGAATATTCACCAGAAAGGGAATCAAGTATGTTCTCAGGAAAGCGTCACTCTCAGATATCCAGAGAAAGATTTTAAGATCAGAAATCAAGATATAGTTGAAATAAGTGTTTGCTTCCAGTGAAATTCAAATATCAGAATCCAAATACAGTACACCACAAATTCCACTATCATGATATTGGTTGTACTATTCACAAGAGTTGTTCTCCCACTGTCATACGCTAACTACTCCAAACAGCAGGTATTGAAAAGTGACGTTTTATACTGTTCCAAATCTCTCTTGAATATATCTGTTGGGAATGAACCGTTGGAAGGAGAAAAGAATTCTTTATCCTTATAATGACTTTTTTCATCTAAAGGCTATATAAGAAGACTAAAGCTTCAAATTCAAATTGACGGAGACAAAGTCGAAGACAACAATGTCGAAGTCCATAACGTTGGTGCTCTTAATAGAAAATATCTTACAACGTTAAAGAGATGAAATAGAGAAGCAAGGAGTTGTTTCTCGTATCTTGCTCAACAAAGAAAAAAGATGAAGATGAAGAATTCTACAAGATGATACTCAAATTATTGTCAAATACATCTTGGCAAAATTATGAAGAAGTAAGGAGTTGTTACCCATAGCTTGCTCAATGAAGAAGATGAAGACAAGAAGACTACAAGATATTGCACTCAAACATAGATTATATTCATCTTTGTAGAATCATGTAAAACACGAGAGTTGTTGCTCAAATTGTATTATTTATTAAGATCTTCATGTAAATTGTTTGTACACAAGATTTGTTGCTTAGAATTGTGTCAAATAATATGTACTTAATGTAGGAGTAACCTGCTTGATAAGAAGCACTCATGTAATCTCCAGAAAAATAATTCTATTTAGAATTGGTGGTTCCTCAAGTGATCTTTTGAAGATATGATACTTGAGAAGATGAGTGGATGCGGTCACCGTGGATGAAATCCTTTCTAGGAGACCATGTTGTCAGATTCTAGGTGGGTCAGTGATCGTATATCTCGTGGAAATCATTGAAAGTATCATTGTGTTATTCCTTGAGAGACTCTGTTGGGTCAGGATTCTCAAGAAGGCATAGGATGCGGTCTTTGCATATGGCAATAAGGATCAGATGAACTTGTTGTGGTTGACAGTAAGGTTGATCTGATTTATTGTGGTATATTGTAATCAGATTTGGTTATAGTGGATTAAGTCCTTGTTGAAGGCAAAATCACTTGAGAAGGGTGGACAGGAATAGCCTAGTTAGAGGTGAACTTGGATAATTAAATGTGTTTTTCTTTATATTTATTGCATTCTATATTCTTTCATAGTTCAATCAAATGATTTTCTAAAGGAGAACATTTTCTTAAAACCCAATTCAAACTCCCCTTTCTTGTGTTTTTCTTTAGCTTCAAATTATACCCTTTAGCATCTGTAACAAGCTCCAACAAGTCAACATCAGTGTTTAGAGGCTTAAGTTCACACTGAAATGATAACTTTGTATACTGATACCACAAACACTTGAACTTCGTATATCCAACACTAAGGACCATATTTTTAATGTCCTCGTAGTTCACCCAATCAGCATCAACAGTGTCTTCCATCTCATAGACTAGACCATCCACATACACTTTAACAGGAAAAGTTACAAATGTACTCCATGGTTAATACATATCTTCAACTTTTACTCCTCACTTGACTTGTGCATATCACAACCACAACATTTTGGCAATAATAAAATAAACATCGAGCAAAAAGAAACAATACACACATGTGAACCACTTTGACACTTTGAATAAAGAAGAAAAATAAACAGCAACACAGTTCACACAATAACCAAAAAACCCTATTTTCTCAACCAAGACACAAACAAACCATCTACTTTATTCAACACAATAACCAAAAAACCCTAATTTATACGACTTGTTACATACCTGAAACAATATTTTGGGTTCTGCTCTTTGTTCCACCATGTAATTCCATCTCCAGCTTTTTCATTGTCATTCTCTGCCATGGTCGAATCGAGTTGATGGAAGGAAGGAAAAAGATGATTTTTTGTTGTTCTATGGGATCATGTTGGAAAAGGAAGCAGAGCAAAAGCAACTTGAGAATTTTGGGACCATAGGGTTCTATAAGATTGTAATTTCTAATTAATAAATTTAAATATTTTTATCATATTTTAAAAATAAATTTCATGAATTTATAAATAACACTTCCAATTATACATTGCCACATAGGTATTCTTTTGACGACACCAATTAAAAATTCAACTCATCAACATTTTTAAAGGGGAAAATAAAGGTTCAGACTAAAATTAAAATAAAAAAAATTATTATAAAAACTATTTTGTTCAATTTGAAAAAGACATGACCAATTTCGTAAATTAATTAAAATGTAAGGAAAAAAAATGCAATTAAACTTTTTTAATTAAAACATTCTCACATGATAAAGATTCTAATTGGTTTAATAATTATATATTTTTGTTAATTTTCTTTCTAAAAAAACCTAAACTAATGTCTGTAATTATAAATTTCTTTTTTAAAAAAGTCTCTACATATAAACCTCAATACAAATTACTATATACTTCATTTTTTATTAAATTGAGTAAAAACAGATTAAATTGGATATTTATTTTCAAAATATTCACAATAATTACAAATTGAGTTATAAGAAGAACCGCTTTTATAAATGGGAAAAAAATTTAAAATTTTTAAAATTATTGAAAAATACTTATTATTAAGAAAAAGTAAAAATAAGAAAGATAAGAAAAAATTTCAATTATTTTTTATCACAACTATTTAAAAAGAAATTTAATTTATAATAAATTAAAAATTATTTATTAAATTAAAGACACGTATATTCTTGTTTTTCTTCAAATTGTTCTGTACTAAATAGTATTATTATTCTAAATTATTATGAACAATATATTTTAAAAATAAAAAGTCAAAACTCATCCTTTTTATAGATAAATAGTGAGAAGACACACTTGCAATAGGAAATCTGTAGAAGCGTGAATCGAAAAATGGCAGGAGAAGGAGTGAGTCTGAATCATATATCTCGAGAGTCCACCGACATTAACCGCCTCGCCAAATTCTACCAACAGGTTCGTATGTTTCTGTTCAATTCTCAATCAAAAGTATACAAACTTAGATTATATGTTTGGAATTTTTATGGTCAGATTTTTGGGTTCGAGGAAGTAGAAAGTCCCAAGTTCGGAGAGTTTAAGGTTGTCTGGCTACGTCTTCCATCTTCTTCACTCTGTCTCCATCTCATCGAGCGTAACCCATCTAACAATCTCCCTGAGGGTCCGTGGAGTGCCGCTTCTCCCGTTAAAGACCCTTCCCATCTCCCCAGAGGCCATCATCTCTGCTTTTCTGTCCCCAATTTTCAATCCTTTATCCATACTCTCAAGGTTCTCTTTTCTTTATCAATTTCTGTTATTCACTTTGGAAATTGAGCAGTTTATGATAAAATAATGTCAAGTTTTTCTAATTTGAGTGGAACTTGTTTGTTTGATGAATGCAGGACAAGGGTATTGAGACTTTTCAGAAATCTCTGCCTAATGGCGAAATCAAACAAGTTTTCTTTTTTGACCCTGATGGTAAGACTAAGTAACCATTTTCTGATATTACTAAAATTTGACATTAACGGGTTGGTTATTGGCCCTGAGCTGAGCCCCTAACATGAAGTATTTGCAGGTAATGGCTTGGAGGTTGCAAGCAAGTAAGACTCCTCCTAGTTACTTTCATGTGAATCTGTGACTATGGTCTATAATAGTAGTAATAATAATGCCCCTTATTGGTAGCATTTAAGGAATCCAAACATATGTTGCGCACTTGTATTGTAATAAAGCTAGATTTTGATAACATATTGCTACTTGCTTGTGATTTATCGTCCTGTGTTAAGCTATGTTTAGTCCAAAAGAAATTGAAACAAGAGAATGGAAGAGGCATTTGTTCCTTTCCTTTTTACGTCAACTGAAAGCCTTCCTCTATTGTGAGCATTCATGGCAAAATATTTGCTTAGATCGTCACTGCTGCTGCCCAAGTATGTCAGCAGAATTATCAGCCATTCACAATTTATAAAATACATCTCTTACAGCCAATGAGAATGAGTTCTCACAAATGTGGAGTTAATGAAATATCACTTTAATTTTATGATGCTCATGCATGAGAAAACACTGGTGAGAGATCCTTGCAATGAAAGACTCACACTTTAGAGAGATTGTTGAATTCAAATGTTACATAAATTAAATTGATGACTCATAATGTCTTGTCCAACTAACTTCACTTGTCATTTTTCAACACGTAACAGATGCATTGCATATTAGAAGATATTAACATATTTAACTATAACATTAGATACAAAACAAAATAAAATTCTTGTTTAAAATAAATAAATCATGGAAATGTTATATATGAAATTTTCCCTCATTATTTTACTTATAAATGAAACATTTTACAACCACGCCAAGTATAAGTGGGCAATGGAAGTGAATGAGAACATAAATTTTGGTTTTTCTGATCAACTAACTAGATAACAATGAAATTCAATACTCAACATATAAAAAGAGACAGCAATTACTGGCATACAATTTCTACGTACAATATACAACATAAGAAATTTGGGGACCAAGTTTGGCTGGACTGGAGAAGTGTAGTTGAGAGCCAATTTCTGAGTCTGTGATCAAGACCCCGAGACAACTTGCACTAAATAATGGGCGTGATTGTAGAGAAACAATCATGAATTTAAGACCCCAAGAATGTTTTATTGTCATTTGGCTTGATGATTCTTCTAAGTAATGGACTTGGTCTGATGTGTATTGTGTAGTAGGGTCCATGAGACAATAGAATAATGTACCCATCTCTTCGACAGATCCACTTCCTATTTGTTTATTAGCTTCTTTATGCATTGGGATCTCATGCTTTATTTCATTGTTGTTAACACCTGAAAAGTAAGATGAGATGAAAAACGAGAGTTAAACAGAATTCAACAAAGTACTAGAGGTGACTCAGGTGAGTGATTTTTTTAGAACATTCATTCCTCAAGATCATCCTTTCTCTGTGCATTTGGCAAGAAACGGCGGCAACAGGGCCATTAATGGCGCAAAAAGTAAGCAAAGGAAACAAGAACAGTTGTAAAAACATGGATAAAAACAAGAGGACTTAAAGCATGAAACCATGATGGATCATTGAAAATAGTGATTTGCTATAATTCTGCTATGCTATTGTGGTTCTATTGGATAATGATAGGCATATCATAGATAATAAGGGCTTCCTAGTTCTCTAGCGCTACTAGTTACAGCTTTTATTTGACTGACACTGGACTGGAAACGTTGAAATGTGTAGTGATTTTTACTGCCTTTCTGGGGTGTTGAAGAGGATTTACAAGGCTCAGATAGAGGTGTTTTGCCATAGAAAAGAGGGAAGGAGGAGCGTGAGCATGGCTGCGACTACGTGCATCTATGGAACGACCCAGAGACAGAGTCGCTTCGCCAGCACATGGTTCTTATCTTCATACATGTTGTCTGAACCAGTTGCATGAAATATCATCACAGCCTTGTTATATCCCAATGAAGAAGAAAGATGGAAGATCGTTGGTGTTGAGATAAGAGTGAAAGAGAAAGATTGTTGTCATTGTTGTTGTGTGTAGAAAGAGAGGACATAAGTATGAAAGATCATTGACAATGAGAGAACTCAGAGACCGCCATAGTCATCTATGAGAGCAGCAGAGTCTCACAAATCAACAAGTAGTTGTACACGGAGAGGCTCAGAAAGAGAGAAGATGGCTGACTGCATCAATATGATAGAAACGCCTCGCCAGAACCATCCATCTATCATCACTGCATCAATATGATAGAAACGCCTCGCCAGAACCATCCATCTATCATCACTGCCTCAGTCAATTCAATACCCAACAAACCAGAATAAAGAGTTCAACCAGGGGAACCTTTACCAATCAGTGTTAGTTCTCAACCAAGAAAACTAACAAAACAATGCTGCAACATTTTGTAATAAAGATTTACAAAGTTTTCAGTTGATATAGAATCCATCTCTTTGCCATGGTATGAATATGTTAATCAATTTATTGTACCTTTAGGCACTTCCCAAGTTGATTAAGAATCAATCTCTTTGCTATGGATCTTTTATGAAAGACTACAATCAAAAATACTGGAAAAGGAAGCAGGTATAAGCAAAGTTAAGCAAAGAAGGAATGTGTTTATCCATGATGCTGTGCATTAGTATTCTGCATAGAACATGTTTTGCATATTACTATTTGGCCCAACAGTAATAACCAAAGGCCTTGGAAAGCATCAATTTATTGTACCTTTAGGCACTTCCCAAGTTGATTAAGAATCAATCTCTTTGCTATGGATCTTTTATGAAAGACTACGATCAAAAATACTGGAAAAGGAAGCAGGTATAAGCAAAGTTAAGCAAAGAAGGAACATGTTTATCCATGATGGTGTGCATTAGTATTCTGCATAGAACATGTTTTGCATATTACTATTTGGCCTAACAGTAATTACCAAAGGCCTTGGAAAGCATCAGTTGTTACTTGTTATTATTGTGGCAGTAAAACCAGATTGAATCCAAGTTGTGACACTTGCATCTCTAGCAACTTGGTTGGCTACATTGCTCACAACTTACAAGTGTCAACATATATTTGACTGCATACTAGTTTTCCATTAAAAAAAGTCACAAGTAATTACTTTTAACCTTGCACTTTAAGGCAAGTTCTAGTTAGTTCAATGTGTGCTGTTTCTAGTTTGAGGAGTAAAGTACTATAGCTGAGAAGAGCAAAATTTGGAGTGAAGTACTGTAGCTGAGAAGAGCAAAATTTTGGAGTGAAGCACTTTAAGACTAATGTGAAATGCGCGACTACTTAGGCAAGAGTGTTGAGGGTCTACAGCATTGAGAATTGAATATGAAAATCCGCACGGCAATGAAATTGGTGTGTTGAATGAAATGAGAGAAAAATAAATGTACCTCATTTACATTTCTTGATATTGGCATCTTGTGTTTTTTATTGTATCACCTGAAAAGAAAGAGATGAGATCAAAAACGAGAGAAAGTTATACAGACAGAATCCATCCTTGAGGAGACTTTTGTCACTGAATATTATTGATTCACACTAAAACCAGACAAATTCAATCCTTAATCTATTTCAGTCTCTCAATCCAGCAATCAAACAAAACAGAAAAAACATTATGAAAAATTGGCACAAGAGTATTACAGAATTAAAAAACTTAAGTGACAGATTGAGAACTGGGGGGAAAAGTTAATGCTCATCTTGGAAACCCAAAAAACAAAGGGGGGAAAGTGCCATAAAAGAAAAATAATATAAAAACAATGTGAGGAAAGAGTAAGAGGTGTAGAAAGCATGCATAGCATAGGGGCGAGTAAAGGTGTAGGGGTGTTGAAGAAGAATAGGAGGCTCGGATAGAGGTGCATTGTCAGAGAAGAGAGTGAAGAGGAGCATGGCTCAGATAGATTGATTGTCACTATGTGAGAAACAGAGTCACCTCGCCATGACTCTTTTGTTCTTCACCCATAATGTCTGATCTGATTATCCATAGTTTCATGAAACATCATCACTGCCTCCATAGAGAGAGGAGAGAGAAAGAGAAGGCGAGCCAAGTTTTGTTGTTGTGTGATGTATTAAGAACGATCTCAAGATTAACGATTTGGATAAAAATATGGTCTTTGATAGAAACAATATGGCTTAACTTGATCCATGTAGCCTATCCGCCTTAGTGGGATAAGGCTTGGTCATTGTTGTTGTAGAGAGAAGTGAAATAAAAAAGATCATTGGCAATGAGAGAAACTTAAAGCCTCACAATCACAAGCTTGCATTGCAACTAAAGGCTCAGAAAGAGAGATGGGTAGTGGTGGCTGCGTCAAAAACACCTTGCCACACAACCATCCTTCCGTCATCACTGCCTCATTTGATTCAATAAGACCCAACCAACAAGAAGCAGTTGTATTCAACTGCATGCAATGCAATGAAAATTTTCTGCAATACTTACCGTCTGCTCGAGCATTCACGCTTCACATGTTTCCTTTCTTTCTCTTTATTCCGCCTCTTCTTTCGCAATTGGCTATCTAGCTTCCCCAAAATTTACATTTCATTTCACCCTAATTACCTGTCCTCAACAACACCTCTACATTTTGGGCTATTTATAATCTTTGCCCTTTTCGTATAACAATTTCTTCGGCCTTTAGGTTTACCTTCTTCTATAAACCATTTCCCTCCTTTCTTTTCTATATTTTATGTTTTTTCATTACTGAAATGAAATTCCCTTAGAAGGAGGACCTGGTCTTAATTTAGAGACTCTTGGTCTGGTGTGTAGTCTAAATTTAGAGCCCTTTTCTTCAACAGAATCAACTTCAATTTTTATTAGCTTCGTTATATATTGAAATCTTGTACTTTGTTTGTAACACCTGAAAAGTAAGAGATGAAGTTAAAAAATGGGATGTAATTTGTATGGGTTAAACTGCAGGCAGGTGATCATGAGAACAACATTCATTTTGCAAGAGCCTTTTCTCTGTCCATATTTATCACTGGTTCACGTGGAAACCAGACAGACTCTCATCATAATCTATCTCAGCCTCACTCCTGACTCACAAACAAAACAGGAAAAACATTGTCAAGAAATGACAAAAATATTAGAATTATTAAAAAGCAAAGGAAAGTATGAATGCAAGTGCTAAATGGAGAATTTAG